TACTGAAGTAGGGAAATGAAATTTGACGATAAAATAAATTAACCATTACTTTTATCATAGAATATAAAAATACTTGTTGTTTAGTTACGATTTCAGTCTTTGTTAGTAGAATATTCAAATACGAAACAGATGTATCATACTCTTAGTTCAATTAAGCTCCCTGAGATATTTAGGATCGACATATAAATGGACGTAACTATTGTTATTTTATAATACATCGTCAATATACTAGAATCTTAAAGTCTTGTGTATATTTTTTGAAATATTTCTGCTTCATATGTAATAAAAAAAAATGTCTTTTTGCAACGGAGCACACGATCGTATTTTAATCGACATGCATTATTTGCATCACCTTTTTTTTCTCACCGTCTCCTTTCAAACAAAAAAAAAAATATCACAGCAAGTTATAAACTTTATTTTGAGGAAATAAATATCAAAAAAGTATATATAAAACTTTATTCCCATTTTATTTCATTGGAGCTTGACACAGGAAGTAATGAAGTGACGTGCACGAGACCGGATGTACTCCTCTTGTTAATGCGGAGTAGGTCAGGCAGTAGTGTCCACTCACAGGGGATGAGGAGTGAGCTACGACAGTCCCGGCAACGTTCCAGGTATAATCTCCATCGTGATCAGCATCCTGAGCTCCAATGTATACATAATTTGAACGACCTACAACAGGTGTAAGTTAGGGAAGAAATATAAAATTAGACAAAAGAATTCGTCAATTGTATTCTTTTAAATAATCAAACCATAAATTTTCTCATATTATAAACACGATAAATATCCTGTAAAGATTTTTTTAAAATTCTGAGACGGAATTTATTTCAAATTAATTTCTTTGAAAAGAGATAAAAACTTAATGTATTCTTGTTTGTAAGAGTATGGAATGCGTTTACGTCTAAGCTGTACATACCTCGTAATTGAGTTTGAAGGAAATATGATACAGCATGTGCTTCCTTTCCTGAGAAATTTTCCATTAACATGGAACAATGATTATGGCAGTAGGCCTATAAAGAAATACGATACTCCATAATGTGAGGATATTGCCTATGATAAATGAACAATACTATACAGTTATTGACTGGGTATGAGGGCAACATATGATTTGTTGGACCTGAAGGTGAAAATGTTGCCCGAGGCCGCAGGCCAAGGGCAACATTTTCATCTTCAGGTCCAACAAATCATATGTTGCCCGAATCCTAGTCTATAACTGTTTTGTTATACCCTTCACTGCTCACTTAAGATTGATCAATTTTATCAATACACGCTATACTATCAATTATTTTATATGGAAAATTATGGCTTCTTCAGTAAATATAAACATCAAGCTGAGAAAGAACAAAATCAATTATAAGTCTATTATATCACAAAAATTATTTATCACAAAACATACTCTTCCCTTCTACCTTACCTTGCTGTTAGCAACAACTCTTAATAGCTCTTAACTTCGGCTATTTTCGCGTCGCCGATATTGAACGATGATTATTAATTGTGACGTAACAGACAGGTGACGTTGCGGTCTAACAATTCTTATGTAAGACCGGTCAATAGTGAAATTGTTAGACCGACGTAATAAACATTTCTTTTGTTGGACTTTTTATTAGTAAGAAATATATAGAAGGATATTTATAAGGGTATAACAATAAGTTTTGAAAATAAAAAAAATATTAAAACATCTCGATAGATATTGAATTGAGAATTTATTTCTCAGAACGAAATAAAAACCAACAGGGGGAATAACGCACCTCTGCTTTAGCATAGGACACTTGACCAGGTCCAACCATCATACATTTCCCATCAACCAGGTGAAAATTTGTAGGACAATGATGATTGGCGGCTGTGTATCGGCAGCCAACTACAAAATAGAACATATTTAAATTTAAAAAAAAAGCAGTTCCTCAAATATTTTAACTTCTTTGATTATTTTTTAAGGATGTAAAATTATCATTTAGCAACAAATGAATACTGTTTTCGGTTAACATTTTGTGATATGCTAAAGGTTGTAAAACTTTTTTAAATGGTACAATATTATTGGTGGTTTGATATTTTATAAAGATAGTATGCCATGCCAATATTTTATTTACGAATGTTACAAACATATCTTTAGAAGTAAGATTTCTTTATTGAAAGACCAATATATGTTCTTTGTTACTTTGTACTAATATTCTATTCTTTTCAGAGTAAACGGAAAATTTCTTTTCAAAACAATGTGAAAATGAAATCTAAAAAAAAATATTGTTGATCAATGCATATCAAAACTTTTTTTTATAAAACGTGCTTAGGAAAGGCAGTTAGACATTTTAATTTCTAAATAAAAATATATATTTATAAATACTTAAATAAAAAGAAATTTTTATATTTTATAAATCTATAGTAAAAGATTTTTAAGACAAGCTATTGAAAATTAAATAGGTTGATGAAACAAGAATATCTTGTTTAAAGTCATCATTTCTCAATACAAATAGAAAAGAATCCTTAAGCAATCCTGTTTTAAAACAGAATTGAAAAAACAACTTCCTTCCTAATTTGCACCAAAAACGCAGTAAGGCTTTATCTATTTAGAAGCATTCTTTGTATTTCACTGAATTAGAATGTAGATATAAACCCTTAGTGAAAAATAATAAAAAAGTTTAGATAACGAATGACCAATTTAAAAAGAATCCCACAATCAACACAAATCTGTAAATAAGTAATAAAACACAGAATCCACCAAATCCAGAGGTGAAACCAGGTGCCAAGGAAGATTAAATACGAATGGTTAAACGTTACCTCCCGTGGGGGGTGCTTTGGTGGTGTATGTTGATCCATGTGTTAATGCCACGTGGTTACAAAGATCCCCCGTGCAACAGTCACCATCCACGGAAAGCTCAACAGGATCATTTCTTTTACCAAACACATTACCAGCTTGAGTGTTAAACTGCTTGCATACCTGAACAAGAAAAACTCGAGAATTTTAGATAAAATGTTGTTAGAAAAGGTCTTATATTTAATGAATCTCACCGAAAATATTAATATTTTCTTTTTTGCAGATTTTATTTTATTTAGATTTAAAAAAAAAAATTATGGAATATTTATTCACTAGTTAAATAGGAATTACATACACTGTCAAGCATGCATCCCATTTTATATCCTTGCTCACCACTAAAGCTCAATGTTTTCAGGACGTAGCATTTCTGTTCAAGATAAATTGTACACATGTACTATAAAACAGTTTCATAACTTATAAGTAACATTACTAATATATTCACCATGACTTTTTCGCAATTATTTTTTTAGGAAAGAATTACCTCCCCTGGTTCACAGACAGCATGGTTTGTGCAGTTAGCAGGATTTGAGACATGCTGACATGAGTAACATTCAGCTGTGGAAAGAGAAGGTACACCAAATATATTTTATCACAGATTTCAAAAAATATCAATGAAATGATATTTTTTTTCTTCTAATGCCAATTATTTTAATGGACAGTTGAGCCATGACCTTTATTATCAATATCATATATTGGTGGAATGTCTTGCGACAGTACACGTAACCTCACCGCATTTTCCACAGGTTCTAGGACAGGCTTGAACCATACAGTCATCGGTACACATGTCTCGTTTGATCATGGCGAGACGCTGGCAAGATGCATGATCAATATCATCACACTTGGATGAGAGGTTAGCTATGAAAAATGTCATATAAGAATTAAAGATTGCATAAAACAATATCATACTTAGGAATACTTCTTAAAATATACAACCATATTATTCTAGGTCACTGAATATCTCTGTAAAAATGAACTCGAGTATGAGAGCGTTGTGCTGTGTGGGAGTATAATTATTAAATGAGGTTTTCGACTTGCGTATATCTTTTTGATATTTTTGTGCTTTCTTTTTGAAAAGAAGTTTATCTTCTGAATTTTAAGCCTTCTAAATCCTTCAGGAGGAAAACATGTTCAAGTACTGAAATTAATGGATGAAGGGCGTCCATTTTCATTCTATTACTGGAAGAAGAATATTTAACGTATTTTATTTAACTATATATATTTAAGATTACGTTGTTGTGATGTCGTCATCATCGGGGGAGTTGTTGTTTGTGTTGCAAATGTAGGAGTTGTCGTACGTGGACGCATTGTTGTCATCATAGGTGGCGTGGTTGTTCCAAAAGTAGGAGTTGTCGTTCTTGGACGCATTGTGGTTGTCGTATCGAAGAAGTCCACCTGCCTTTTACCTACGGGACGATTCCTGTTACAAAGGTCGTTATCACAACATTCTCCCTCAAGGTTTGACCTACGTCCAATGAGTGTCGGTGTTCCAGATCCAAACAATCGTGTACAGACCTAGATTTAATCAAAAGTTACGATTGATAAGAGGTGGAATTGTCTTAAAGTTCTACGATAAAAAGGGGAATTTCAAATAAAAGTGTATATATAGTCATTATTCTATTTTGCTTATCTTGACTGTAAATGCTTTCAGAATAGTATTTGCTTACATTTATATACAACAATACTTATGTATTTCAAAATATTGACTGCGTTTTATCACACAACACGTATTCATCAATCTCTGTAAACTGAAAACTTTACATCTGAGCTGGCGCAGCCTTGTCTGTAATTGATGGAAAAATCATCTCCTAAAGACTCAGTTACGATGCAGGACTACAAGAACAACATACTTTCCTAATTAGTACATGTATCACTTGAAATATATGAAGATAACGAACAGTATTCAAGCTCAAAAGTCCAAGTCCAAGTCAAGGAAAGGATTTTGGAAACAAAAGCAACATCCTTAAGTACATTATATGTATTTTTGTTTATATACTGATGAGCCGCATGGCTTAAAGTTATTCAATAAAGAAGAATTAAGTAAAGAAAGAAGCTTAATTTTTTTTTTACTTAAGATCAATTAATTCTAGTATTTTCTATTATATTTCTTTTATGTATAAAATTGCTTACATAAGATTTGTCTGTACAAATCATTGTTGTGTTGCACATTGTGGGCGAGGACACTCCATCACAATGAAAACATTTGAGGGCTGAATAGCATTAAAATTAAAAAATGTCAAGACAATGGTAACATTTGAGGGCTGAATAGCATTAAAATAATGGCAAGACAATGGTAACATTTGAGGGCTGAATAACATTAAAATAATGTCAAGAAATTCTATCATTTTGTCCTCATTAAATGATTTGTTTTTTACTAATTCGATGATTTCATAAATAAGAGTTGTTAAGCAATAAAAGATAGATTCTCATATACATGTCCATGTAAGTTATCTAGAAAACATTTTCAAATTTAGGCTGTCACATGTATTTTATGAATATGATATGTGAATAGAGAGGAATTTATCCATTTTTTGCGATAAATTGCCCTTTCCTTGAAATTGCTCCAAACAAATACACAGTGTGCTATTTGACACGTAAACATTTGGCTTCATACCTATATATTCACTTTTTCTTGATATTCGTCTTTCAATAATTGTCAATTTTGCTATCTTAAAACGCATGCACAAGATGTAACTTTATTTTGCTTCAGCATAATAAAAGGCATACTATCTTTTAGTTTATACATTGTGGTAACGAGACTTTCAACAATAACAAAAAGGAAAACTTACGACACAGATTGCATGTTCTTGGACAGAGCTTTGATAAGCATGGATCATTGCAGATGTTTACATTGGCAGCAAAACCCTGACAAACTTGATCATCAATATTGTCACACAGCTGCTGGGATGATATTGCAGCAAACTGAATCACTACACCTAAAAAGAGCTAAGTATTACTTTGATAAATTCTGGTCGATTTATAGAAGAATTTTGAAGCACAATAAAGCGAATGAGTTCCTTCTTTATTGAAAACTTGTAGACAGTTTATAAATATGTCAAATTTCAGATAAATATTAGAGATTGGAATCATACATGATTATAAAAATAGCAAACTAGAAGTAACAATAAAGTAATTATCAAACCTAAGAGTTCAATAAAAGTCCTCATGGTCATGTTAATAGTAACTGTCCGATTGCTTATCTAGAATGATAACCAAGGAAACATATAGGTGTGAATTAGATACGGCATATTTTCTTACCAAACGTTTAAACATTTAAACCTTAAACATGTCTTTAATCATCTAACTATAGCATTGATAAAAAAATTCCTGTTCTTTTTGAATATAAAACATTGTTTTAAAGTTCATATCACCTTAGAAAAAGTTGATTTATTTAAACAGATATTATATAAGATAACGGCATTGATAATGAAAAGCCAGAAGTCCGTACTTAATAACAGCTAGATCGAACGAAATAAGGTTCACATTTTCAATAATGTAATGTAGATTAGAGTTCATGTCTCCAAGTTGATTCAATAAACAAAACCCAACTTCGTTTTTGCAAATATTTTAGTCAAAACAAAGACCCGGGTAACAAAAACAATCTAAATTTCTATTGAATACTGACTCTTTCATACGAATTGTCAGGGCAATATTTTTTCGCTGAATCATCTTTTGTTTTTATATTTTCCTAATTTTGACGATGATCACACAAAGGGTGTGACGGGGGATGCTCAGGGGATGCTCACTCCACCGTTTTACCAGATCCCACATTATTTTTTCTAGGAATGTGTCTTCACAAAGTTTCTATTATTGTTTCATTAAACATAGATTGTTATAGCACAGTGACTCCTCTTGATTGAAATTGGTAAATATTGAAACGTTCAGTAAGACGTTGCATATAGTTGACGTACAAGAAGTTTATAAATGAAGTTCAGTTACTGAGTATGTGTTAGAATGGTTAATCTTTCCCTATCATAGTGCGATAAAGAGTACAATATATTGTTCCTCAGTATATTTAGTAATATGACCATAGTCATTGCCTGCTAGTTTATGAAAAGGATAATGAAATGAAAAGTGGAGATAGGAAATACACATGAAACCCTAGAAATGTAACAATTATTGAGGTACTATAATTCAAATAGCTTGAAATTGTTTTGTCCTGTGGCTTTTTTTTTTCATTGAGATAACTCCTGTCATTGCTAAGTGCATTATTTGTAAATAACTAAATCTGACCTGCTCCGTGATCCAATTTTCGTAATTTTAAATTATGAAGAAGTTTGATATTTAATAAAATTTTAAAACTTAATTTTTAAAATAATATTTACCCAGACGATTAATTATAAAGTTATGGTATGCTTCAAACAATCCTCGTGCCTGAAGAAAATATAACAACACCATAGCTTTTGATTCTTTCAAAAGGACTAAGCTGTAGATATATACTTTACCGATAAAATATCTAGGTAAGTGAATGTGGTGACCACCATTAAAATTAAAATTCCAAAAAAAAAAACAAAAAAAAAAACAGGTATAAACCTATCTCAAAATATACATTACGTGACGTTTTTACCATTTGCTAATTGAGATTTAAACCTAATTTCCTTTAGAGATTCACCTTTAAATCACAACTGTTAATAGGTATCTTCTTGAATAAAACAAGAACTCGGAAATTTTCCAGTCTTGTGAATGTTCAACAACAATTTGGTTTTGGTAAAAATAACTCTGACTCTACTCTAATGTATATATTAAAAGGATGCTGGGGTTCCTTATTGACACCATTTATGTAATCTTCGGAGACAATCCTCCAACCATCCTCACCATGTCAAGTTTTTCTTGACATTGTGAGGATGTCCTCCGAAATACTTTTGGGAGAGTCTTCCAACGAACTGTCAATAACTTATTGTGCTCCTCTATTACCCGGCTAGTAATGAAGCAGGCTTTATTAAAAAAACTACACAATATGACCTAAAGACTTGCAGTTTCCCCATCTCGGTATTCAAATTTTAATGGACGAAGTTTATTCAATAAACATTAATTATTCCCATTCATATTGATGTCGACTTGGTATATCACAGTGAATTTGAAATAAGATGAAACACATAATATGCCATGTCTGTTTTTTTTATTTGGATGTTATTCTGACTTTTAATGACTTTTATGAAAATATTCCCATCATGCTTTTAGAACGATCAATTTTTTTACAATTGTAACAATTGATGTAACTTCAATTCAATTCAGCATTTTAAAATTCTATGGAGATTATAATGCTGTTTAAGGAACATTACCATTTAATAGGTTTTATTTTGGCTGACGTGTTTCATGTCAATGATTAACTCCATGCTTTTGTACTTTTAATTACGGAATGTTCCTTCTACTTAATCAATAAATAGGTGTGACTCGTCAACACGGTATGCTTATTCCTTCTGGGTATCTGATTCCATTTCTGGAGTTTCTGAGGGTCTGCGATTTGTGGCCTCTTATTCAAAGATTTCCTATATATCGCTATTTGTTGTTTTCAACAAATCGAAATGATCTTTTATTATATTTAAGTATTACATGTATTACTACTCATTAATATTAAAAATAAACTAAAATAAATATTGATACAGGTTGTGATATGTTGGCCTAGTTATTGCAGATGCTTTATATGCCAGTTTCAAAATGAGTAATTAAAGGTGACAATACAGATTAAAATATAACTGAAATAAGCAAGAAATTAAATAAAACCACAAAAATATTTTATTTAAATTTTGCTTCACAGATATAATAATGAATATCATCACATGAAGAAGGCTTAAGCAAATGGTCATGGGGTCCCCTGTGTCCCCCGTGTCCCTCTAGAACAAGACAGTCGTTACCGTGTAGGTCATGATGAACACCTGGCACTCTTTGACGTGATGTGTCCCAAACCAGTTGATTATGGGAATCGGTGTGAGCTCCCAGTACAATAACTTTCCTATCATTTGGTAGACCTGTAAAATTAGTAGAATATTTTTTTAACAGTGACAAAAATATTCGAGGAATGATAGCTATCTACCATTAAAATTAATTTAAATGGTAGTTTAATGCCACTAGGGCAATGTAGAATAATGACAATAAATAAGTACTAAACTTACCCCAAAATACACTATCGATAAGGATCCGGATGCTGTCTATGTCACGGTCTGATATATTTTCTATGAGATTTGAGCAATGATACTTGCATGATATCTAAAATCAAACATTAAATTGAAAATATAATCGGTTTCGCTCAGCTCTCTGCTATACATAATGTGAATGAATTATTCTCGTCATTACATTACCTTTGCACTTTCGTATGTTGACAATTCTGTACCAATAAAAAGACATTTTCCATCCACAAGACTAAAACCAGTAGGACAGTGCTGTCCTGCTACATACATGCATCCGTCTCAATGAAAAAAATATTAAAAATGCTGAATATTTTTCATAACCGCCAGAGTCATATTTAGAATTCAAATTACGTATTTTGAAAAAAGAAAGCATTCGTAAATTAATTATATAAAGCATATTGCGACCTTTATTAACTTATACTTAAAAAAATCTTCTAATGCCTTGATTTGTCTCAACTCTGTGTTTCAAACTATAAACTGCACAAAATCAATTAACCTGGTGGGGTCGTGGTGGATTGAGACTGCGTAGGTGCATGCGTAATTGTATGCGTAGGAGCATGTGTAGGAGCATGCGTAGTAGTTGTGGTGGATGTAGTGTGAATAATGGGGTGGTGATTGCAGAGGTCCCCATTACAGCAATCTCCATCTAAAATCAAACCTAAGTGGTCGCTTCTTCGTCCAAACACATTGCCAGCATTTATGTGGAACCTTGTACACACCTATGTTATGTAAAGTTTTTCTATTTTTATTCTATAAAAGGCGGAAAAATGGAATTTGTGAAAGGCATTTCTTGTCAATTTGCTTATAATATAAAGTCTAAACCAGAAAGGAAAAACATTGAAAAAATATTTTCAATAATAATGATATTGGGGGAAAAACAGTACACGAAAACATATATCCCTCCTGCTTCTAATGGAAAGTTTACATTATTATTTCTGTCCTAAAGTTTCATCAAAGTTTAGTGATTTGTGTATGTCTTACATCTTCATGAAGACATCCTGCACGGTAGCCATGCTCCCCATTGTCTAAGTACTCTTCCACTACATAGCATTTCTAAAAACAGTATAAAGTTTTTTTTATAACAAGACAAAAAGTAGTTTTAGCGTCATGTTTTGAAATCTGTATAAACTGTTAAAATTAAGAAATAAAATAGATTATCTTCTTCTTTTTTTTTTCAATATAAATGATGCAATCACTTTTCAGGAAAAAATATGCAAAAAAAATACATTAAAAAACTAAATGCAGAAACCTTAACAAATTATCCTTGGTATAAGGACAATGTACAAATCTGCTTTAATAAGATGTCTAACGAAAAATAGAAATTTTATCTGTTAACTATCAAATCATTTACTAATTGATTATAAAGGGCTTACCTCACCCAGTGAACAGACTGATCTATCTGTACAGTTTTCTGGAGTGTCCAGGAAAATGCAGGAATAACATTCAGCTATAAGATCAATTACTTTTCTATATTAATCATAATAATTTTCTTTACTTTTTTCATCAATGGGTACAATAAAGGTCATAACCCTAAAGTCCATTTTAAGATAAATAATTTTATTTAATGGCATATGATAGCATTTATAAGAAACAAATCACAATTATGATCTGCTTTTATATTAATTCTTACGGCATTTCCCACAGGTGCGTGGACAGACTTGCACAAAACAATCATCACTACACATGTCCCTCTTGAGAGAAGCAAGTTTTTGACAGGAAGCCGTGTCGATATCAGCACAACCTTAAAATAATTTTTATTGATGTGTCTGATTGTTTTTTGATAAATTTTGAAGGTAACTTGTGTTTTATCAGTTTTTAAACAGTGATGCCTACTAACACTGTAAATATAAAAAAAATACAATCTCAAATTTAGCTTTTATAGTTTTCTTTTTAATTAAAACATTATTTTTCTAATAATACTTTCTTTGCTTACAGATTTATTATCGTATAAGCAGAAATTTTAGCGAGGAATGAATTTTGGCATATTAAGCAAGGATATTGAGATCGCTAAAATCAATTATCCCTAACAATTCTCCCACATTAACCGCTTTTGCTATGTTTCTATATACCGGTATGCACCATAAAATTGCTAAAATTTCTACTAGCTAGCATTGAATATATTTTTCTACTAATAGGATACATCTGGAATAAAAATAAAGAAATACCTACCTGGTTTCTTTGAGGTTGTTGTTACAGGAACTAAAGTCGTTGTACCTTTTGTGTTCGTTGACGTCATAAAACTGCTTTTTATATTGTCTTGTGTTGCATTAAATGTTAACTCATTAGTGATTGGTGTTGATGTATGGTTCATGGAACCAATCGTTGAATTCGTTATAACGTCAGTTCGGTTCGTAATAATCTCTGTTGTGGTAGTTTCCAGACTGATGACTATTTGCCTCTTTTTACTTGGATCATGTTTGTTGCAAAGGTCAGAATTACAACATTCTCCATTAATACTTCTTTTCTTTCTTCTGCCTAGTACTCGCCCATTCCCAAATAAACTACTGCAAACCTAAAATGAGTTACAAACAACAAAACACATATTCTATAAATACTGTTTCAAATTCATGCTATAATAGAATTGTATATACTTTACCTGATGAAAATCAATACTCGGAAATAGTTAAATCTGAAATTCAAAAATAAGTTACCTACTAGATTTGTGGCACATCCAAGTTGGTAGGTAATTGAGAAGTCAGAGGCTATGCCCTCATGCACTAAACATTTCTAAGAGAAAGACACAAAATACCATTCACTTTAATGTGGAAGGAAGAATACTACATGAAAAGAACACAAAACATTCTTTTCCACAGATTAAGAGCAAAATATGATTTAAAAAGCATTAAGAAACTATTTATAATATTCATTATTTATCAACTCACATATGTACGATCCGGACATATACGTGTTGTGTTACAATTATCCAGCGAGTTAGCATCATTACAACTGTAGCATTTTCTAGCTATAAATATTCACAAAGCAGGTTAATGAATATGTGTGTACATTAGAAATAATACAATGCTTTCTTTGGTTGACAGAAGGAAAGTTATTGTTACAGCTTTTGCAGTAAAAATACATCACTCACATATGCCTGTTTTGTATTTGGTTCTGCAACAGATGCAAATCAATTTCCCTAATAACAACTTACGAAAGCATTAATTTCACATTTTAGAACAATTACAGACGGACAGTCTCATTACTATGTCATGTACATCTCATAATTTTTGTAGCAATTGGGAATTCTCTATATGACTTATTCCAATATAGAAAGAAAATAAAAATACAGTTCACCCAAAAGGTGTCTAGCAAATTGAACCGTTTGAATTTCATAATCTCGCATATTTTATGGTGATATATAAACCATGTCTACAAGAAGGATATGGAGATAACGAACAGTATTCAATCTCAAAGTTCATAAAACAATACAAAATAGGAGCAGAGCAAACACGGACCTCCGAAACATCAGAGGTGGGGTCAGGTGCCGTGGAGGAGTGAGCATGCCCTGCTGACCGGTCACACCCGCCGTGTGCTCCTTGTCATGATCAGGAAATAACGGGAAAATCCGTCGTCAATTCAGTGTATAGATAATGGACTAACAATTAGTATAAAAAAATCAGTCAGTCAGCATTTAACTCATTGATACATTGTATTTGCTGACAAAGTCATTGTATTTACCATAGAACTTACGAAGTGATGACTTTAAACGAGACTGCTGATATTCTTGTTTCATCAACTTCATCTACAAATGAACTTTATGGAGAAATAATCTGTCATTAAGTAAAAATGATGATGGAAGATTTTCTTACTTTTTGTTAGGTCATTATTTATAGACTGAATCGGATTTTCACGTTTTTTCCCGATTATGACAAGGTGCACGCGGCGGAATTGACTAAATGGCAGGGGATGTTCAATCCTCCATGGTACCTGATCCCGCTTCTGATGTTTAAGAGTTCCATGTTTGCTATGCTCCTGATTTTAATTTTTCAAATGGATTTATGGGCTTGGATAATTGCGTTATCTCCATATATTTCAGTTCAACCAATCAGACAAAAAGGAATTTGTTAATCACATAGAATAAAATATACTTTGTAATAATAATTTATATCAAGGATTTAACAATCATTTGAATTCACCTTTTAATGGGTGCCTCTCAGTTGGAAATTGATTTGATTAGTTAATCTAAAGTTTCAGATTCCAAGCACATTTACAATTTCCTAGTGTTCAGTTTAGATTTCATTCACTGCGTCTTGTATTTCAAGTTACTGTAAATATTGTAAGAAAATGTCATTCTATATAAGTTCTAACGAATTCTTACGACACTTGTCGCAGGTCCTGGGACAGATTTTGGACAGGCACGGATTTGAACATACATTGACATGAAGATTGAAGGTTTTACATAAGTCACTATCCATGTCGTCACAATGAGAGTCCAGGCACCAAGCTACGCTCAGGATACTCACAAATATACCTTTAAGTTTTAACAATAAAAGCAAAAAATTCAGTATACTCGTAAATTTTATTTAAAAAAAAAACAAAACATTTTTAGTGTTTCATTGAAGTGTTTTCCATTATTGTTGTTGGTATTTAGTTAAATCAGCTAAGAATGCTTGCAACTAGTAAATTTAAAAGCTATCTATGAGAATTATGATTTTTTTTCTAGGTATAAGGTATACTAATAAGAACGTTAAGAATACAGAATTTAACAAGGTTAGTTTCACAGAAACAATTCAAACACTTAATTTCTTTATTTACTAAATTTAATGAGAAGCACTTCCGGTTCGTAAATCCTAAACCATTATCGCATTAGGAGGTAAAATATAGCTATATTCAATAAACACAAGATAATGTTAAGGAGTAAATCGAACAAAAATAATGCTGTTCATGTTTAAGAATCCTATTGAAAATTAAAGAAGATTTTAAACAGTTTGGATTACCTAGATTATGTTTCATAGCGTATTGTTGAGATGACCTATCCAGGCAGGTATGAAGGGCTTAAATAAATGATAACGAAGATTGTCTTAAAGTCTTAGTGCAATGCACTTAATTCGAAGTTGAGAGGGATTTAGATAATTCACTATTCTTGGTCTATTCTGGGAATACTTGATGATCATTTAGTGTTGATGTCTGATAAATTGAGTGACCAACACGCCTAATCCTCGTTCAGTCTGGAATATAGTTTGAAAACAAATCTAGGTTTATATGAAAGTAATTTTTACAAAATATTAAATTTTTCGTATGCTGATACTTAGGGAAGAGGTATTGGAATCGAACAAAGCTAATACTACGAGTTATGTAAACATACTGAGCTTTAGTTTAGTATACAGCACAATAAAAAAATGATCATATAAATTTCAAACAAAAAGCCTAAAATTTGTGCTAAAATACCTAATATACGAATAGAGCACTGGATTTAAGTTTTAAATACAGTGTATACAGATGTTAGTTATGCTGATAGCGCATCCTAAAACAATCACAGATTGGTGTTCATTACTTACCCTCTTTCAAATGTTAATTATGCATAAATCAAATTTCTACAACATTTAAAAATAACTGCATGCATTACGTGATTTGTTCATTTTTGCCAGCAGAACACTTAATCTTTTTTTCTATACTTAATATCACACTTTATATATAAGATATTTCTTAGATGCTTTCAATTCTAATTAAAAAAAAACTTTATGCGGCTGAAATTATTCATTTAATATACATATCTTAAAAATAGTAAAACTAGTTATTTTCTGCTTGATTATGGAATAAAAAGATTCTTTATGACTTCAATTTTTCAGTAATATTTTTTGTTTATCAAACAAATTGATCGTTGATAATGCAGCCAGTTTAATGCTAGATACATGTGGAACTTACGCAAGTGTAAATCAGATACTGATACTTAAAATTCCATATTACTTTTAGGAAATTTTATTTTACAAAATTTTACCAATATCAAGAAATCAAAATTTACGACTTTTCAATACTTTATAAAACCATTTTCTACGACAAATTTCAGTTTAGATTTATACATCATTGACAGCTGAATTTTCAATAAAAATGTAAATCGTAGATATGTATACCTTGTCATTGCTCATTTGCAAAATTATTTGGGCAAAACATTCTGATTGTACACATAATTATGTACTCTGAAGGTGATTGCTCGAGTTTCTGAATGACAATATCTACTGCTATGTTGTTTTTCGAAATCAGGTCTTTCAACAATCTTTTCAAGTTCCCAGTTGGGTACCAATTTTGCCAAGTTATTGGTAGACCTATTTCTGGTTTAATATTAAGCAAAATTTATCTAAGATTTCTACCTTCAACTTAACTTATGTAGGATATATTGACGGCATATTATTGAATGACAATAGTTTCCCCCCATTTATATGTTTATTAGGTATATCTCATTAAGGGGGCCGACTATGGTTTTATTGCGTGAAAACTACAATAGCGAAACTCTTCATTTTTATACCATATATAACTTACATTAACTTTAGTGTACCTGCAAAGTTTGGGCGAAATCTACCGTCCAGGTATTTCTAAGGGACCATCTCAAAATATAGGTACATTTACTGTAGGATTATACGGGAAAATGCCAATTTTTAGCACTTTAAAGCAAATTATACAAATACTACAATAGCGTTTTTGTTCAAAATGTAAGATAAGAAGAATAATACTATCTTGTACATTAAGTGTAAAAAAAACACAAAATTCTACCGTCTTGTTACCAGAGGGGGCGTCTCAAAAGGCCAAAAATTAACGAATGTTCCTGTTATTATAGAGTGCTACAAAATATGACGCATGCATAGGACTTATACAAAAAATAATAAAATATGATGAAGATATTATCAAATTCCTATGTGAATTTCATATGTCCTATCTTCTAGGTTATTAGGAATTCACATAGTTGCAAAATCGGTTAAAAATTCAATTATATAAAATTGTAATTACATTTTTAAACCTGTAATTGCTTTATTTTGTTTAATTTTATTAATCAAGTGAAAAAAGTTGCTTTAAAAAAAAATATATGCGCGATTCTTAAAATTGAAATAAAAGATCATAATATATAACAATTAAACATGATATCTTCACCTCAATCATCAATTTCTCGAATTATGGAACATGCAATTACAGAAATAATAAAACTGTTTGAATTCATATATCCTATTTCAGTTTATTAGGAATTCACATATATAATATATATCAACCTTTCTGCCTGATGCGATACAAATAATCATGAAGGAATCGATTTCAGAAGTGACCTTTCTGCATGATGCGATATATAGACAAGATTCAGGGTTTGTGTGAAAAAAAGTCACATGAAATGAAAAAAATATTTCCATATTATTTATAAACCCTGAAATACGTCTAGACTTGGCACTTTCATTGAAGGCGTTCATATGACTCTGTTTACTGGTATACATATCACTGCAGGCACGACGCAGTTGTGAATCTCTAAATATGTGCAATGCTATTTTTAAAAAGCTGTCGTAGATAAAGACTTCCCAATTTGTGACTTAAGATAATGCCCAATATAATGCATATAAATGATGGGACTTGTTCTAGTTCTGCAGTTTAACAATAGAAACAGAACAAGAAGGACTGAAATATTCAAATAAAGGGGTCATGTCTCGATATTTTCTTCGACGGCAAGAAAAAAATGTCGGATAAAGCGATGTTACCTACTCTTACTGTACAGAAATAATATGCTAGCAACAAATTATACACCGTAGCTATTTGGTAATGATTTTAAGAGCGCCCTTTTTAGTGATTATTCTCAACATCGATTCAAATACGTTTCAATGTTAATCATAAACATATGATGTTTCTTTGAGTAAAAGTAGGAACGTCATATGTGGATCGAATTGCTGAAAATATACTATTATTATTATAAATACATGTACAGTATAGGATGAAATAAAGTCGAATAATTTATCGAATATATTAACTTAAAGTTTATTTTCAAAATGAATAATGCCACCCCAAATGTTCTTAATTAAAATTTAAAGAATGCCATGATATCGCTTCTCTTTATATGCACTGTAATCCGGTGTTCACAATTAGCCCCTGCAGTTGCAGTTACATG